GAAAGAAACAACAGAACCCAAGGAACAGATAGTGAGATGTTAGGAAAATTAGGAAAGGTGCGATGCTGTGGAAGCCAGCTAGTAAGTAACTGCCACTGCCAATTGGAAAGGCCTGGCCAGCAGTAAGGGTTAGGCTTGGATCCGATCACACATTAACACTCCGGGAACAATGCAATGCAGATAGCAAACATACACGTTTATTACAGCAGTTCAGAAGAGTTATAAAACTGATGAAAGCAGTAGCAGAGTATTAATAAAATAATACAACGCGCCAGGCGCATGCTAGTTCTCCACATCAGGAACATTTGAACCACTCTCTTGCAAGCAGCCTGTGGAGTCCATTCCCCACTAGAGCTTTAGAACAGTGTCCTATTGATGAGACTATGCCAAAAGTGCTTTTCTTCCCACCATCCTGTTAAGAGCTGCTCGGCTAGAAAAGCCTTTGGTCAACCTCTGGATTTCAGACAAGTAGCTGCTTCTTTTGAGAGCAGAAGCAATGATGCTCTTGTACAACAAAATCACCCTTATATGATTTTTTTTCCCTTCTGGAACAGACTGGCCTCTGTGCTGTTCTTCGAAGAAAGTATCTGGAGCCACTCCCTCCCCCTTACATTCTCAACTGGAAAAAAAATAGCCCATGAGCTGTCCCTTTCATACTGCGGGCCTGTGGTGTGGTAAGTCTGTTTCAGATTAATTCAATTAAACACCTCCGGCTGCATCTGTTAGACACCCTTTTTTATGGGCCAGATTTATTTTAATAGGATCAACATATGTTATATACAAAGGTAACCATTAAATAATTATAAACAAATAATTGCATCACACTCCAAGCCAGTTTTGCATCTCCTGCCAGATACAAAACATTTACTTTAATAAATTTAGAGTGAGCAATTTGCATAAAACCGTTGAAAGTGGGGATATTTTCAAAGCAGCTGCTTATGTGATGTGATTAAGCGAAATCTTCCCATCCCCCATTCCCACCCACACAAGCCATTAGTCATTCCTTTGAATTAATACATTGAAGGCCTCTGTTAAAATTAAAATATTATCTCCTAATAGAGAGACAAATGAAGCTATTAACATTTAGCTTGAGTTAGTTGATTGAATTCCTTAATCACTTAGCAAGGTCCTTTGTGAAAGGGACCCAGCAGCTGTTAAGTTTTGAGGAGGGAAAGGAAAGGTCCAGAACATTCCCTTGGGAGGAAAGACAGGGTTAGGGAGTTCTGTACAGAGCTCCGGGAAGTTGGGGGCACTTTCTGAAGCACTGGAATCTCAGGTGCCGGGGAGATGGCTAAAATACAAAGGATAGGATCATTTCTAAAGGGTGAGAAAAGCCATTAAAAGCAAATCTCCTTTGCTGTCGGTTCTGCCAAGAGTGGGCTAGCTTTGTGCAGGTAGACCCCTAATGTAAGTGGCCATTTCTTTACATTTTAGAAAAGTCTCCATTGCTCTGTGGGGATCTTACCAAGAGAGACTGAAGAACAATTCACAAGGCTCAACAGATTTCTCTCTTCAATTTGTGACTCAACAATTTTTTTGGTAGATATACTTTTTTAGTTTTGTTTTAAGCGATCAAAGAACATTCTCTTTTTGGGGGGATATTAGAGACAGCGTTTCTTTGTAATTGTTCTGGTTTCCTGGAACTCACTCTGTAGAACAAGTTGGCCTTAAATTCACAGAGAGCTGCCTTCCTCAGCCTCCTGAATGCTGGGATTAAAGGTGTGTGCCACTATGCTCAGCTCAAAACAGATTCTTAATGCAGAGTATCCAGTTATCAAAAGATCTCCAGAAATGCTAGCGTTAGTTCTAGGGTCACATTGTATACAAGGCATTACTCGGCTCGTCTACACATGTGCGGACACACACGTTTTGTTTACACAAATGTGATGGTCTACACTTGTTCAGTATACTTCCTCTTTATTTTCACTTTTTCACTTGTTTTCTGTGGTACAATATACATCACATGCAATTTTTCCTCTTTACTTTTTAGTGTACAATTAGTTGCATTAAGTACTTTCATGAAACAAATTATTTCTAGGAAAATTTCCAAACTCACAGACAGAAAGCATGTATGCTTTAACCAACTCCTCATTCCCTCCTGCCCCCAACCCTTGGTAACTTTCATTCTGCTTTCTATCTCTATGATCTTCACTCTTTTCAATTGTTTCTAAAACGTCAATTAAAAAGCTAGAGAAAGACGAAATAGCACATACAATACTGGATGCTTCCCTGTCATGGTTTGGGTCTGAAACATCCCACACAAAGCTTATGCATTGACGGCTTTGTCCCCATTGGACCAATCTAAGTTCAGAGGCGGGCCTTTGGGAATTAACTGGATCATGGTGGCTTTACCCTCTCCCCCCATGGATGGATTTGTCCATTGATGCATGTGTGGTTTAAAGGACTATTGGGAGATGGCAGAAACTAGGATATGGGACCTGGTTCTAGGAAGTAGGCCCTTGAGTGTGTGCCCTTGAATGGGACGCTGGGACTCTGAACTCCTCTTCCTACCCTCCTTTTCCTCCCTCTCTCTCCTTGTTCCTTCCTAATTAACTTCATCCTATAGTCGCTACCATAATGTTCTGCTTCTCTGTAGGCTCCCAAACAGTAGGGCCGGTGACTAGGGACCGAAAATTCTGAAATCATAATCCAAAACAAAGCTTTCCTCCTAAATTGTTTCTCAGATTTTCATCACAGTGACCGAAAGCTGACTGACACTTTTTCCCCTCCTCTGGCTGACCTTTAGGTAAGCAATACAATCAGTTTCTGGGGTATCTCTACAGAGAACACATACACGTATACAAAATGCCTCCTTCCTTTTCTTGCTACTAGTAGTATAGCACACCCAGTTTTGGACTTACCTTTTTTTCACCAACGGCCTAGGCCTCTCAGCAGGCAGACTGACTCCAGACAAATGTATATAGAGATGTACACACACCAAATATGCATATATATTTTAACATTTATGTGGTGTATTTGCCCACCCTGTTACGCCAGAATCAGCAGATTTCTGACTCATTAACTTAAAAAAAAATCAACTGTTTCCTTGTGTCAAAAGTCCCATGGCATGGAATGTACCCATCTGACCATTTTGCAGGATACAGTAATACTATCAACTTTACACAACAAATCTTTAGAACTGCCCCCATCACTTTCTTTTGCATTTTTTCTGATGGATAGTCATGTTGACCATCTTATTATCTGCTATTCTTTCCCTTTTTGAGAAATACCCATCCCACTTATCCTTCGCCCATTTTAAAACACAGGACTTCTTTATATGCTCGAGATAATAAGTCCTTATTATATACGGGCTTCAAATATTTTCTCCCCTTCCCACCTGTGTTGATTGTATATTCTGCTGTGTAGGCGTTGGGTGCTACGCAGTCTCATTTGTCATTTGCTTTTGTTGTCTGTGCTTTGGGTATGACACATTGGCTTTTACATCTCCCAGTGCTGTACTTCCCTTAAGGTGGCGTGGTTGGGTTTTTCCTTTCATTTCCACCCCAGAGTTCTCTAGCACACTGTGTAACAGCGCTGTTGGCTGACTGCTATTGGTTCCCTGAGGGGACACACCCAGCTACCTTCATTTTTTTTTTCTGGATTTGTTCCCAAGCACAGTAATAGAAGGCTCTTATGAGAAGGGCTGTTTTCTGATTGCTTTCCCCGTCTTTCTTTTTGAGTGGAGCTCAAAACACTATCTCCTGGAGGTGCTTCCTTCTTTCCACCACCTGAAGTGGGGCAGTGGTCTTTGAGCCAATGGTAGGTCAATAGGCAGGCTGACTCCAGACCAATGGGAGGCTCCTGGGTTCCAAATGGAGCAATCATTGTACTAGGGACGTTGAATTCCCAGATGGCTAGCATCTACCTCATTGACCTCTTGCTAATGACTGCTGTCTTGTCTTGTTGGCCAAGGATCTGAAGGTGCAAAAGAAACCTTGCCCCCCCATACACTTGTAGTAGCTTTAATCCACTCGAACAACTTGTGCCCAAGGCCAATAGAACATAGCCATTCTCCCTTTGTAAAAAAGAAAAAGGGGTTGGGTTTCCTTCAATTGTCTGCCCCTCTCTGTCTCCTCCACTATTTTTGCTTTACTCTCTAGTTAACTTTGCATGGAGCAGCTTCACCAGTAGGACCTGTGCGGAAGATCCAGGCAGACTCTTCTCATTGGCGGCGCATAGGCCTTTTCCTTGCTCTAATCAGGGGGTTTGTGGAGGTAGTGGGTGGTGGGTGGAAGAAGAGTTTGGCCATAATCTTCCCTCTGCACTTCACACACACTACTCTCTTGCGGACTCTCTCCCAACCCCCCCCTCCTCTCTCTCTCTCTCTCTCTCTCTCTCTCTCTCTCTCTCTCTCTCTCTCACACACACACACACACACACACACACACACACACACACCACCACCACCACCACCACCACCACACACACACACACACACACACACACACACACACACACACACACACACGCCTGCTCAGGCCCCTTTTCTCTGTGTCTTCCATCAAGATGACAGGGCGCTGGAGAAAAGGCTGCTGGAATCAGCTGGTAGGTACAGTAGTAATCTGAACCCCACCCACCCTCTGCCTTTGCTTGCTCAGGTTTCTCCGGTCACTCCTGCCAGGGGAGAAAACACGTAAGCGCGCCTCCAGAGGAGGGGCTCGGGGAGCTGGGAGTGGCGGGGGCGGCGGAAGGTGAGCCTAGGAAGGTGGCCCAGCGCCCCTTTTGCACGGCCCCTCCCAGTGCTCCCCTGGGGTGTCAGCTTTGGCTCCACTTGCCCCCACTCCACCCTCCTTTCGAAGGGATTGCCTTTTTTTTCCTCTGCGGCGGCGGAAATGACAGTGTGGTGCTGCGGTGGTGTCATGGTGCTGCCTCTGGACTGAGAGGCGAAAACTCTTAAGTTTCGCCCGGGAGACCCAGACGCGGGAACGTCGCGATCTCCGTGCTGTCCCCTGTGGGGCGCGCGGGCTGGCGGATCCCGGCTGCTGCGCGGCGGCAGCGGCGGCGGCCGCAGCGGCGAAGGCGGGCGGCGGCCTAGAGTGTTGGTGGCGGCGGCGGCAGCGACAGCGGCCCGGGAGCTCGCGCGGGAGCCCCAGCCAGCTTGCTGAGGAGGCCGGCGAGCGCCCGGCGCTCCCAGGAGCACAGAGGAGATGGCTGGCACCCGGGAACAATATGGGTAAAACGTGTCCCCTCGCCGCGGTCCGGGGGGAGGGGGGGTCGAGTGTCGCCACCCGCGCAGGGCTCGGGCCCCCGGGCTCCGGCTGCTCTTCAGGTGCCGCCGGGGCCGGCGCTGGGAGGACACCAGGGATCGGCGGGAAGGGGGGGGTTGGTTGGGAGTGGGGGGAGACGGGCAGACGGGATCCGCGAGGCTCCCGGCGGCAGTAGCGGGGGCCCGGGGTGTGTGTCACACTGTGGTGACCCGGGTTCCTGCCACTGCCTTCGTGGGAAGGAGTTTGCACTCCTAGATCCCAGGCGGGGGAACGGCCCGGGGCCTCCCGCTTGGCCAGGCCGAGCCTGGAGAAAGCAGTGGAGCGGCTCTCCTGGCGCCCAGGCACAAGTCTGGGAAAGGGCGCAGCCGCCTTCCCACGCTCCCGCAACCCACGGAGTCCTCGCCCCGGGCGGCGCCCTTAGGTCGGCGGTTTGCTCAGCGGTGCTGGCGCAGCAGCCTGGGATGCTGCTTGCGGACACCCAGCCGGTGGCAGCCCGGGAGAAACTTAATCCCCTTTTCGCTGGGGGAAGCAATCTTCAAGTCTCTGTCTGGGTGGTTCCTTCTTTTTGGCCTAGCTGTGAAAGCAGCGCCGTGGGGGAGAGGGAAAACTTGAGTGTGTCCACAGGACACGCTGCTGCTGAAGCAGGGACATGAGAGGCTTTTCCATTTCGGGCTCGGAAGAATTATGTAGCTAGCGGCAGAGCAGATTTACTCTAACATTTCTGGTGATGAGCTGGCTTAGGTTATTTTGCACTTCACGTGCCGCACGTTATTTATTTATTTTGGAGGCATTTCTATTTCGAGCAAGAAATTAGGGTCCTGAGACGCTCGGACTCCTCACTTTTCACACTCTTCCGCACTCTTCGGCAATGTCACTGTTATGCCTCTTCTTTCTGTCACCCTCACAACATTTGCCTTCCAGCTCTCTCACCAGAGTCCCTGCACTCTCAGCTTTTCGCTAGCAACCTGTGCACATCCAGCAACACAGCTTCTTGCTTTTGAATCACTTTGCTTTCTTGAATATTTCGGAGGGTGGGGCTGGTGAATGGCAGTTGTGTGTCTCCGAGAGGGAGTATTTATGAAGGAAAACACTGGGGACTATAATAATAGACAACTGTTGTGTATGGATTAATTAATCTGATTCTCAAATTGGACCACAAGGGCTGACTAAATCCCATTCTACTTCCTCTCCGAAATCGAATCAGTTCTCTGACAATATTAAAATAGGAGATGGGGCTGCCAAATTTGAGAGTTCATATTCCTCACTTCTGCTTATGAAGCTTTTGCTATATCTGGATTATCCCCCCGCCCCCAACACACACCTTTTTATCTCCTCCCCAGTCATCACTGCCCTGAGGGAAAATCAGTCTTTGCTATTTTCGTATATTCCTGCTCAATCGATTAACTTAATACAGATTCATAATGTGAATTAAATTTCTCTTGATTGTTCCTTACAAAACTTGATTCATGTGGTTGAAGCACAAGTCTTGGAGCCAAGAAGATGAGAGAGCACATTGCAAATGTGGTGCTGCACTGGCTTTCCGGCCTTTGGACATTTGTGTACCCCTTCTTTCACAGTCACTGCACCTGCATAAAAGGCCTAATATTATGTACTGGGTATTTTGAGCATTGGCTTGGCCCTTTGAAGATAAAAGGATTCTATAAACCTCAGCATTATACTTTTCAATGAAAGCACTTCATTTATCCTTTATTGGGCTACTGGGTTGACTGGGTATAAATGGGAACACCAATTTACAGAAACCTTAATTTGCCATTATTAGTCCCCTTGGGATTCAAATTATCATTGTAGTTTGGGCCTTAAGTCAATTTGTTTCACCAAATGTGTGTGTAACTGGATGGAAACAGACAATTAGGCATAGAAAGTAATGGTGATGATTTTCAGTCGAGTCATAAATCATATTGGCTGCACTCTAACCTAACAATCTGAGTCAGGCTCATTTGAATACACAGCCTCACCCATTTTTAGCCAACATGGGGGGTAGTTAGTTAATGCCCAATAAAAAGTGGCACAGATAGTTTTAGGTCTGGCTGTACAAACATGATTAGCACCTTGCAGCAATGAGTCAATATTTTTTAAAAGCACCTTTACTGCACGGAGGCCTCTGCTGGCTGTGTTGAAGCCCCAGATTTGACCCAGTAGTTTGGGCTTATTTTTGCCTATGCTTAACTCTTCTTCCGGCTCCATGGCTAGGACCGGGTGGAGGAAAGTGGTGTGGAGAGTAGGAAGAGGTTATGGGCCATGGAGGGCTCTCGCTTCTATTTCCTTTCCTGGCTACTAGGATTCCTACCTAGCATGTTGTACCTTGCAAGACCACTTCTGGGAGGCACTGTTGCAAATAGGAGTGACATGGTTGCTTCACAAACAGATCATCTGAACAGTGCAAATTGACTTAGATAAAATTGGTTTGGTTAATCCTTCCTCTAAGAACAAGGCAACTTGCTCCAACTTGTAGATCTTAAAATAGTGTCGGTGGAGTCTCATAATTGCGTCCAACTAGTGTTCTGAGTAGTGAACCTTTCCATTCCCTCCTCCCCTAAAATCTGCTGACACCACAAAAATTGAGAAGGAAACTCCAGAAGATTGGTGTGTGTGTGTGTGTGTTTGTGTGTGTGTGTGTGTGTGTGTGTGTGTTTTATCAATTAGCAAACATCGTTGGCTTGGTGAAGAGGAAAGAATACTGGTTTGGTTGTTAGATTCCTTAGAACTGAAATCTCTCTTTCTAAACAGGAAGGTAGAACCCTGAAAGGCAAAGACAGGGATGAGACACAAAATTATATCTCAGATGGCTGTTTTTAGAGATAGCTGTCTTTGTGTGTTCATCATTCAATCTTTATAGATCTTGCTAAATTTCTAGATGTTAGCCATGAGACTCAGCTGCTAGAAGAGGCTTGAGGGTGCTCCAACTCCATTTAATGTTGAGCTTTCATTCAGCCTTTTGTACAAAAGAAAGCTTTGCGTCCATGAAGTGCCTTCTTAAGCCGAGTGTCCTGATTTGAAGCAGAGTATCATCAAAAATATGAGGTGTAACATGTCCTAATGGATATAATATAGTTCAAGAGGTTTGAAAGATAGCCCCTTAAATTGTGACATTTATTTATTTGTGCGCATGTGTGTGCATATGAACATGCATGTGTGCCATAGCATCCGTGTGGATGTTAGAGGAAAACTTGTGGAAATAAGCTCCTACTTTCCACCACATGGGTTCTGCAGATCAAACTCAGGTCGTCAGTCTCGGTGGCCAGCAATCTTACTTTCTGAGCCATCTCACTCGTCCTAAATATGGTCACTTTTTGAAATTTTGGGACAAAGTCCGCATTGTGCTAAGTGTCTCTATTTCTGGATCCTTAACAAATACTGCGTTCATCACTGAGTAGTACACAGAGGAGGGTAGAAAAGCGCTTCTCTGTGTGTTGAGTCATAGCGTCAAATGAGAAGTTCAGATGAGTGGAGGCGGGAGAAGAAAATCCTCCTTTATTACTACCCTGTGTAGACTGCTAGTCCCTCTTACCCTCTCTCCTCTCCTTTAAGGGTTAGTATATGTGTCTCTATCCATTTTCAATTACTAAAACTCTGCCGAAAGTTGTCTGTGGGCTGAAGAGGTTCCTGTTCTGCGGCTTTTTCTGTCTGCTGCTTTTTTCATCTTTTTATTCTTCATGACCGTAATCACATAACATTTTTGGCAGTCAAACTTTCAGGTTCTGTATTTCCCCCTAGAAAGCCTATAAAGTGATGATGCTACGAGATGACATAAAATGCTTCAAGTAAACATGGCTGAGGGGTTCTGAGAAAAAAGGTGACAACATCCCACCATCACTTGCTCCATGTGAGGTTTGACCAAATAGAATATGCACTATGATGTTGGTTTAGCATAAATGGGTTAGAAAAGTGTGGGTTCTTGTCCCTCTACAGCACTCTGGTTGCCTGACCTTGGACTTTGTCTCAACCTCTTTCTGCAGGTCAGAGTTCTCTAGTTGATGATGAATAGTATCTTCTGACTCTGGATCATCCTCTTACAGAGACCAGATGATCCGATAACAAACACATTATATAATGAAAACTCTTCCTGAAATCTAAAATCCCAATATTTGCAATTTGCTCTGATAAGAACATAATGTGTAGGCGTGGAAGACAATGTTAATTTAGGAAAGCAAAATGTGTAGTATATGTGTGTGTGTGTGTGTACTTGTGCGTGCGTGCGTGTGTGTGTGTGTGTGTGTGTGTGTGTGCGTGTGTGTACAGTCCAGAGATAGAAAAATGGTTTCTAGTCCAGAATTCTCTATCACTTTGTCTATGGCCTTTTGTTCAGTGTTGCTAGGATCCATGTGGTTCCCCAGAGAGTAGAAGCTTGATTTAAAATAGGCCTCTGTTTTCTGTCCCTTGTTACTGATCAGAACTTGGAGTCATCGAAGCCTAACATTCAATAGAATGCCCTACATACATACATTACAAGTTTTATTATGTAAAAATAACTGTCCATCCTGGTAGACCACTAAATACTTTAAAAATCACTGAGTATTTAAAATATATCATTGAAAAAGAGAGGATTGGAAACTCAGCCTTAAGATGGATAAAAATCTGTACTGGTAGCATAGGTAAAGATGTTTGTTATTCATTTGTTCCCCAACCTTATAACTTTGCCAGTGTAATCTATATTAAGATAATGGTGTTATGAATCATACTTATAATTCTTGTTAAACATAGGTTACCTCAGCAAATCCATTTTTGGTTACTTCAATTAATCATTTTTAAAATAATATTTTTATTCTTTGAAATTTTTATATTTATACAATATATTTTGATCATACTTGGATTAATCTTTTGTACTTGCAGCAGACTTAGGATTTTTGGTTTTTCTAGTTTTGCTATTCGTTTTAATGATGACTACATTAGACAAAATATACAAAGTGTTAGATTTAGGAGCTAATTATTGGAAGGCAGTAGAATT